TGCTACAGCATTTCATGAAATGGAAGGCATCATTTTATGACCTACATTCCTCTACTAACAAAATTTCAATCAGAATTCTTCCCTTATTTCCCACATAACATTTTTACAGCAAAGTCATGTTAATCTCATGATTTATTATTCTATTAGATATGTTCTCCTCTTTCTCCTACAGAAAATTCTGTGGTGTATTGTATGCTGTTCATCAAAGCCTCTTTATAACATTTTTTATGCCTTTAAATTATTTCTGAACATGTTTTACTGATGCTGTTTCTGTATCTTATATCTTCTTTCAATTCTAGATCTTTTATGAGAGCATTGTTTGTCCCCATGCTTTTATGCTCATTCTTTCCATTTCTTTTCTCTAAAATTCTACTCATTCTCCCATCTATATATTTTCTCTAAGACATTTATTTTCTCATTGCTTCAACTACTACTTGTATTTCAAATGCTAGCTAATCTCTAGACTGGCCTCTGAATAACATACTTTGTTTGTTTGTTGTTTTGTTTTAATTTATTAATTTACTTATACTACATGTTCTGGGGTACATGTGCAGATCATGCAGGTTTGTTACATAGGTATACATGTGCCGTGGTGGTGGTTTGCTGCTTCTATCACTGCATCATCGACATTAGGTATTTCTCCTAATGCTATCCCTTCCCAATCTCTCCACCCCCTGCCATTCCTCCCTTAGCTTCTCACACCCCAGGACCTGGTATGTGATATTCCCCTCCCTGTGTGAATGACATACTTTGTAGCAAAACTTTTTGGATTATCATCATTTTCTCAGATTATCTCAATTTGGATGTCCTTTATAAAAACTGAATTTCATTATGTCCTCCAAAAGATTATTTTAGTTTAATTGTTTTGTACAAATATCCACTTTTGCTCACTTCTTTTAAATCATTTTCTATTCTTCAAGGATTCTCCTTCCTTCGCTTCATATTCAACAATACATGTATGAAAGGACCAACAAACAGGCTACCTCCTAGCACAGTTTTTATATATGTGCTCCAGACTCATGTCCATTTTCTGCAGAATAGCCTCCTCTGTATTTGCCACAGGAATTTTAGGTTCTATACATGCCTTCCCAAACCTGTTCCATGGCTTCCTGTTTTTATTTTTCATTTCCGCCATCATGTTTCAATCTCCCAAATTAAAAAAAAAAAACCTGTTATTTGCCTTCAACTCTTCCTTTTATTAACTTCTGACAAATAATCAATGAACAAGTATTGTTTATTTTTCTTCTTTGTTACACAGTAGATCCTCATTTTACAAGTATTTCTTATTTAAGCTCCTGCTATATATGTTGACATGACAAGCAAATAACATTAATTATTCACTTATTAAATTAGCCCATTATAAATAGTCTTTTTCCAAATCCACATTCTATTTCTTACGTATAACACCGATATGTTTGTGAATTAGCTTCCTGCTAATTATGAAATATACAATAAATATGCAGTGTAAACCAATTGCAAGATTAAGTTGTAAATTTAGTGTTAAATGAATTTCATCAAGTTTGTAAAAATGATCTTGGATACTTACTAAATATCAGAATAAAGGAAAAAAATCAAAGTTAAAGACAGACAGATTCTTGAAAGAAAAGATACAAAATCCCATATACAACTTAGGTATCTCTTGATTATTTATGAAAAGATAGTTCCCTTTATGATTTTGATGCAAAAGTCAAACCTGAAATAGAAGACTTGATTATATAGTTTTACATACTGTTGAGAAAAAAATTAAAAGATAACTACTACTGGATTCAGACTTTGGTGCAATAATAAACATTTATACAGATATAACCTATATTTTGTTAAATTCAGGATACAATTCAATATTATTTTATAGTAAGTTGTATTCTTTCAGTATTTGTAATAAACTTTATTTCTCATTTTAGTTAATTTGTCACTTTTTAATGTGTCAGTGGGGTTTAATATAATACCAAGATTGATTTCATGTATATTCCCCAGTAAATGTACTCTAAATACAGTAATATTTCTGTGTTTTGTATTTGCTTTTTGCCTCCCCCACAACAACATATGTGTAAACTATTAAAGGATAACTTAATGTTACTTTTTAATTTAAAAAAAAAACCTGTCAAACACAGGACCTTAGACCACACAGGTATCCAAATAATATCTCTTTTCTGGATTCTAAGAAACTGGCCTCATGGAGTGATCAATCTAATACTTAAAGCTATTTTCTGATATAAGAGGGAGAGTTATTAAGAACATATTATGCTCACTCAGCCCTTAGAAAAATAACCTCATAAAATATGAAAAATAGTAAATATAAAAGAAACGGAAGGAAGGAATGGAAAGACATGTTAGTTTCCAGCAAGAGAAAGAGAGAGTGTGTGTGTGTGTGTGTGTGTGTGTGTGTGTGTGTGTGTGTCTCAATATCTCTGGTTAATTCACACCCAGTCATTATTAATGTATATAATTTCAGAGTTAATGTGTTCAAAATATAGCTATATTATTAAAAAATAAATTCTCATAAATAAAATGATGATTAAATATTTTGATTAAGAGGGCAAAAGATCATTTCCAATTGATCAGAAATCAAATATAAAATCAGGCAGAAATGAATGTTTTTCATTAACATGTGGAAAACTATGTGAATATGTTTCAAACCTCACAATGATCTATGAGAAAAACAAAAAATTTTAGTAAGAAACCTCAAAAATCTCAACATTATAATGGAAGTTTCATGTATTAAACGACAATTATAAAAGCCTATATTTAAAAATTAAGAGATTGTTATGTTTTAAAGGAAGATCATGAATACAATAAGTGCTTCAAGGATTTAATGGTAATATTTGTATTATAGTTATTGTATTCTTGTAGAAAGAAATGGAAATCCCTTATTGACCCAATGATTTAAGAATTTAATAGTGGGATATCAGAGAATTATATGTGTAATGAAACTAATTATGCTGATAATGCTTCAAATTATAGACAGATACCTAGGGAGATAAATATGTTTTTGCAATATTTATTTTAAAATGCACGATTACTACAAAAATATTAAATTTTATTGCGATAATCAGATAATATATGTAAATTATCCATATAATCAATAAAGTCTCTAACTGTGTGTGAGGAGTGTATTTGTAGTATATATATAACATATTTGCTCTAAAGATGGGTATTAGGAAAAATACTTCACATTTATAGGCTTTGCTTTTAATATCATACTTATTTATAATGACCCTCCTCAAAAAAAAAGTCCTGTGAAACTTAAGAAGCATAAATCTTTATAGATATAGCATGTATTTATATTGATTCGAAATAAAATTCCTTGAGATTAATGTGCCAGCTCAGATAATATTGAGAATAAATTTGGACAATAATTCATGGAAAACAAAAGATAAAAGGAAAGAAGGAAGGAGAGAAGAGAGGAAGGAAAAAGGGGAGGAAAAAAGGAAAGAAACGGAGGGAGGGAAAGAAAAGAGAGAGAGAGAAAGAGACACGGAGAAAGAGATAGCTAACAACCTGGAGAAAAGGAAAAGGAGACAGAAAAGACTGGGGAAGGGAGGTATATTGATATATCCCATCGAGAGAGACAGAGACAAAGAAAGAGATAGAGAGATGTTTTACATATGAAATTAGCTCATGCAATTATGGGAGCTGATCTGCAGGGTTAGTCTGCAAATTGAAGACTCACCTGAGAGAATGTATTCTCTCCTTGAGTCCACAAGGGGGCGTGGTTTCAAAGGCGAGAACTTTGCAGTGATATGCCTGACCTGCCCATCTGGGAGCTTAGAGGTCTTTAACTTCGCAGTACATGGGAAGATAGACTGCCCCAGGGAGATTCCTTTGTTTAGAAAAGCCCACAAGAAACTATGGGAGGACTGTGGGCCAAACAACAAAATCAGTTGTCAGAAATCAAAGCTCAATCACTCCAGTGGAAGTTTAGAGGAACTCCTTTCATAGGACAGAAAACTTGGAATGGGGTGGGAATATCCCCAGGTTAAAAGTCCCCTTCTCCCACATCTGTGTGGACTCCATCTCTGGATCCCCTCTCACCACAATGTGGGAGCTCTCTATTTCTTTCTCTTTTTTCTCTCTCTCTGCCTAAATAAATCACTTTTCTGCAAAACTCTTAAACAAGCACACTGTGCCCAGCAGGATCCTCTTTCCCATTCTTGGGTGACTGAGGGACCAAGGGCCTGGAGGAACACATCCTATCATGGAACAGCCTGAGCCCATCATCTGCAATTAGGTCACACACACATTGGGGCAGTCAATTTGCTTTAGCCTATGAATTTACATGTAAATATCCTCCAAACATCCTTACAGAAACACCCAGAATAATGTCTCACCAAATGTTTGGGTACCTACAGCCCTGTTAAATTGACACATAATCATTATTGATGGAAGGCTATGCAATAAATTATGGAACTGACTTTAAGATGTAAAATAACAAAATTAATCATCACTGGAGGAAAGACTGATGGAAGGAAGAAGAAAGAAGGTGGGAAAGAACAAAACTCTCAGGTCAGAATACACAGTGCACTGTAGATTAATGAATTTTCCATACAAACTGAGAGGAGTATTCGGTTTCTTTCTTTGGGTATAACATGTGAGAAATTAAATATTTCAGATTAACGAGTATCATGTCCCACATCAGAAGCGCACACGGGCAATGCAGGAATGTCACACAAGCTTCCCTATGTGATGCAGTTCAATGGGAACATTCCATGTTAGGCTCAGAGGGAAGGTAGTTTCCTAGTGCCTGTTTACAAGTCCAGAAATTTCATGTGTCCTATTACCTATAGGATACTCTTTCTGCTGGGACTAAGTGAGGTGAGGGAAAGTGAGATTTCAGGAATCAATAGTCTTATCTTCCTCTTCCTCCCTCACTCCACCTCTCCTTCCTCCTGCTTTTCTCTTTTGAAAAGGGTTCTTTTTCTTTGGTTCGGCATAGACTTTGTAGCAGTATGGTGAAGCATATGAACCCCTTTCAAATTAATGTTTTTTAAAGTAAAAAAAAAAAAGTTTTAAGAATACATGAGATGATCACAAAGGTGATTTTCCCAGGGTGAGGCTTATCTATTGCACTCCGGATGTGCTGACCCCTGTGATTTCCCCAAATGTGGGAAACCCGACTGTGTAATTTGTGGTAGTGGGGGACTGCGTTCGTGCTTTCCCCTGGTCTAAAAAAAAAAAAAAAAAAAGAATACATAGGATTATAAAGGGAACCAGTTCTGTTAATATAGGTATTAAAATTATAATATGAAAATTTCTGTGATTCTGTTAATTCATTTATTAAAGTGATACAGTACAGTCTTATGTTAATGAAACACCATAATTTTAAAGTAGTGAGGAGCACAGTGACTTTTATGGAAATACACAACAAATATAATGAGGAATGTATCTGTGACACTTAATTATAAAAATGTTACAGGTATTGCTCTTACTGATGTGGTTTGCAACTGGGTTCATCATTGAATATTAAATGTCAATGAGAGCATAATAAAATAAGTTGTAATTTTTCCCATTTAAATTCTGAAATCTCCAGATTCTATCCAAGAATCCCTGGGAGGTGGTTGGACCATTCTGGTAGACAAAAAGCAATAAGCAATGTATAAAGGAGCCACAAGCCTACACTCGGTTCTCTAAGGTTTGGAAATAGCCTTTAGGCAAAACCCACTGCTCTTGAATAAAGTGACAGTACTTGAGGTTTAAAAATTGAATGAACCTATGGATATTTAAAGATTTTATTTTGTTTTTAATTATTTAATTTTGGCTTTTGTATTCCAGATCTTAGAATACAAATAACTAAACCCACCCAATTACACTGAAACCCTTTCTTCTTCATATGTTAATAAACACACAGTCTAAATAAAACATTTATGTTGATATAGTCAATCCAGAAAAGTGTAAGATACTAATGATGCTTATTCTTCCTTATATTTTTAGAGATTGATAGAAGCAATGCTCAATTACGTAGAGAAAAAAATCATGAAAAATTAGGTCTACCTTGCTTTTTAAATTGCCTTAGTCATTGTACGTAAATCAAAATGCAGATATAAATTCCATATATCTGATAACCTTTCCTTAAGGCAATGTTTCATTTTCTTTGCTTAAAATAGAAATAAGCAATTCATTTTATAGTACATAAAATAGTTAATAGTTCTTAGTGTCTGACAATGTCAGATGAATGAGAAGGAATAAAAATGACTAGGTAGAGCCGGGCGCGGTGGCTCAAGCCTGTAATCCCAACACTTTGGGAGGCCGAGGCAGGTGGATCACGAGGTCAAGAGATCGAGACCACCCTGGTCAACACAGTGAAACCCCGTCTCTACTAAAAATATAAAAAATTAGCTGGGCATGGTGGCGCGTGCCTGTAATCCCAGCTACTCAGGAGGCTGAGACAGGAGAATTGCCTGAACCCAGGAGGCGGAGGTTGCGGTGAGCCGAGATTGCGCCATTGCACTCCAACCTGGGTAACAAGAGAGAAACTCCGTCTAAAAAAAAAAAAAAAAATGACTAGGTAGATGGTGCTGTCAGCATAAACAAATTCAGTCAGACTCCAGCATTGAGCCTTCCTTGAGCAGTTTAGATCTTAAAATTTTAGAAGCATAATTTGCCATCACCTTTTACTTGATTATTCTTGATCTTTGTTTATCTCCATCATTGAGAGAAGCTACTCAGTAAACCTCACTCTAGATTAATAGTCAGAATAAGCCCATGCTTAAATATCAATTTTGCTGATGTCTGAGTTTGTTACTATTGTAAGACCCTTCCCTCTCAGTTAAATGCATGATGCAAGTTGGAGGGTCTTATTCTTGCAATAACTAATTTAGATATTATTGGAGGGCATATCTTAAGTTTAATTACACACTGTATTTTCATATGGTTGTTGCTGGAAAAAATTAAATGTACTCAATTTAGAATAAAGTTATTCTATTCAGGTTTTGTTTGTTTGTTGATTTTTGTCTCCCGTAACTTTGTCTTAGAATGTGTACCTATAAGAATACTCTTGAAATGCCACAGCAAAGTGGAGAGAAAAGGTCATTTGGTCTTTAGTTCTTGGTCGCTGGGCATCTAAGGTAGCATCTAGTGAGTTTCCTAACATCTTCTCTGGTCCTTTACGTTGTCATCAATTTAGATGTTTTCATTTGCACTAGTCGAAATGTTTTATTTATTCCAGCATACACTACCACATCTTGCGTGTTCTGAAAATAAGGCCTCTTTTTCTTGGCTCTCAGTGTAATACCCTCTTAGCCAAAGGGAAAAGATCCTTGCTTCTTTTTTCTTGCCAGGCTTTATAGAAACTGTGTCTTTTTCCATCCCATCTTTATAAACATTGAACATAACCATACTGTTTTTACACTTGCCTGAAGACTGTTTCTTTTCTATGGGGGCTCACCTCTTACCTTGTATTTTACCTGGAAAGTTAGGCCATCATAACCACATTAAGCAGATATTTCAAACATTTAGCTTTTCATTTGTTCCATCTTTATCTTGTCCTGAAGGGGTTTAGTTTGGAGAGGAGCAGAAAGCAGGCCTCCTTCTGAGACCAGGTCCACTATCAACCTGTTCTAAAATCTAAGCTAACAGACATTGAATTTCTCGTTCAATTTCTTAATGAGAAGGAAGTGGAAAAAAATCCTATCTTAAGCATAGAGAATGTGAATAAATAAACAATAATTAAAAATACATCAAAAATGCATGAATATGTATACTCATTCCAGATACTATGAAATATAATTTACTATTTTTGTTTTAAAATTATTTTCCTAACACACAAAAATCAAAATATAGAAAGGTTAGCATTAGTCTAGGTGGCATGGTAGTACATGCCTGTAATTCCAGCACTTTGGGAGACCAAGGTGGGAGGATTGCTTGAGCCCAGGAGATTAAGACCAGCCTGGGCAACACAGGGAGATGTAGTCTCTACAACAAATTTAAAAATTAGCTGGGCATGATGGCATGTGCCTGTAATGCCTGCTATGCATGAGCCTGAGGTAGGAGGATTCCTTGAACCTGGGAAGTTGAGGTTATAGTGAGCCATAATCACCCTATTGCATTCCAGCCTTGGAGACACAGCAAGACACTGTCTCAGGGAAGTAAAAAAAAGAGAGAGAGAGAGAGAGAGAGAGAGAGAGAGAGAGAGAGAGAGAGTTTAGCTTTAGGGTGTGGAGTAGTACTGAGTAAAAGGAATTAATGAGAATGAAAAGCTTTAGTTAGTAGATAAAATCTTACCCTGCAAATATGTGCAAATGATAAAGGTATACACACAAAGATGTACCATACACAAATGCAGTTGTGCTAACAGAAATTTTTACAATTTTATAAAACAAAAAATGTTGAATTAACATTATTTATATTATAAATGATTCTCAGTAGTCTTTCCCTTTAAAACTCAAAAACATGATACTGACTAAAGGGATGCAGACAGACACTAAATAAGATATATTCTGTCATTCTACTAACATAAAATTTAAAATAGACCAAACTACATTAGGGTTAAGATTGTCTGTCAGGGAAAAGACAGGACATAGTGATTGGGAAGGGGCATGACAAGGCTTTCTATATGAAGATTGCACATCAATTTAAATGGTTTATTAAAATGACTTGTTGATGTTGTGAGTAAAGAGAATGGAGGTGCTAAGATTAAGAATACACATGGTTTTGTAATTAGTCAGCAGCTATAATATCCACATAAAGAATAATGGAAGGATATGTTTTCAGTGAAGGCTTGGGTGAGATTGTGAAGAAAACTGAATTCTAAATTAGGAGTATAAAATTTAGCCTATATATAAGGATGAACTATTGGAATTTTTTATTCCATTTTTCTAGGTCAAGAATATTGTCTTAAATCATAAATTATTCCCGCTAGTAGATATGGTAATATATAATTCAGAAAACAGATTGATAAATTAGTAATATATAAAATTTCATTATCAGGAGACCTGGTTTCTGTATGCCCAGATTTTTCTGCTTCCTCTCTCCAGCTCAGGTAAACAGCTAACTTCTGTCTGCACTGCCAGTGAGGCACAAAGTGTCAGCACCTGTTGCTCTAAGCTGGTGGACTCCAAGCCCAGCATTCACGCAGCAATCGGCCTTTTCCCCACTGCCACTCAGAGAAAGTTCTGTAAGGCTTCCACCTTTGGTAATAAAGTCTTTGATCCCACTGTTCCTGTTTTAGTACAGACTTCTATTTTTATCTGACTTAACCTCTCATTTAATAAGGAGGATGATTCTTTCATTGTCTTATTTTGCATGAAATCACCCCAGATTTGGGGAGTTTTCCTCTTACCTCATTTGCCATTTATGCTTTACTCAATATCTTATCTTTTTCTTTCTTTCTTTCTACACCTTCTGAATTATCCTGTCCATTCATGTTATTTCAAATATAAATCTTATGCTGATTTTTCCCTTGCTATACTTCACACTTGAAAAATCACAATAATAAGCCATAATATCTTTAAATTAGCCCCAGTGAAATTTGAATAACACCATATGCCACATGCCAATAACAGGAAACTTGAAAGGACACACATGCTTTTGCGAATTTAAATCACTTAACAATTAGTGTTTGTTTGGATAGAAAAGTAAACATTTTAGTAAATATATAACAGTTACTATACATTAATTTAAATAAATTTTGGGTGCTATATTGACATCTTAAGATATATTTTTAATCTGTTTACTATATAGCAAAAAATTCCTATAATATCAAGGTGATTTCATTGTTGTTTTAGTTTGATTTTGTTTTTAGCTCTTTCTAAGAACTGTTGATTTATAAACTTGAAATAATAAATGTTAAGAGCTCACTTAGAGTTGCATCTATTTCACCCATAGATGATTCATTTTAGCCAACAACATTACGATGTTAACTATAACCTCAGCAATGTATTGCTAATAGACTCAAATGCTCATATTAAAGTTAATATTAATAACATAGGTAAAATACATTTACCTTTTTAAAAGTCCAGATAAAATAAAGTGATGCCAAGTAATTCATTATTTTACCACACAGATATCCATCTATATATCTGTGTTTGCTCTTATACACAGATAAGAATATATATATATATTAATATATTAAATAACTATATTTTTTTTCTACAGTCCCCCTAGTTCCCTTAAAGACAGAACTCCATATTTTCTCCTGAAATGATTCCTTAGCATATGTCTTCCAT